CTGTGTGTCAGGGTGCTGTGTGTGAGGGTGCTGTGTGTGAGGGTGCTGTTAGTGTGAGGGTGCTGTTAGTGTTGTGTGTGTGTGTGTGTGTGTGTGTGTGTGTGTGTGTGTGTGTGTGTATATGTAAGGGTGCTGTGTGTGTGAGGGTGCTGTGTGTGTAAGGGCTGTGTGTGTAAGGTGCTGTGTGTGTGAGGGTGATGTGTGTGTGAGGGTGCTGTTAGTGTGTGTGTGTAAGGGTGATGTGTGTGTGTGTGAGGGTGCTGTTAGTGTGTGTGTAAGTATGATGTGTGCGTGAGGGTGCTGTTAGTGTGTGTGTGTAAGGGTGATGTATGTGTAAGGGTGCTGTGTGTGTGAGGGTTCTGTGTGTGTAAGGGTGATGTATGTGTGAGGGTGCTGTGTGTGTATTGTGTGTGTGTGGGAGCTGTTTGTGTGCTGTATGTGTGTAGATGCTGTGTGTGTGTGCTGTATGTTTGGGTGATTGTGTGTATTGTGTTTAGTAAATATCCCCCCTCCATGTATACCTTATGCCTGGGAGGGGGGATCCTGCTGCTGCTGCCATCCATTCCCTGGTGTATGTGTGTAGATGCTGTGTGTGTGTGCTGTATGTTTGGGTGATTGTGTGTATTGTGTTTAGTAAATATCCCCCCTCCATGTATACCTTATGCCTGGGAGGGGGGATCCTGCTGCTGCTGCCATCCATCACCCTTACACACACACACTAACAGCACCCTCACGCACACATCATACTTACACACACACTAACAGCACCCTCACACACACACACATCACCCTTACACACACACACTAACAGCACCCTCACACACACATCACCCTCACACACACAGCACCCTTACACACACAGCACCCTTACACACACAGCACCCTCACACACACAGCACCCTTACATATACACACACACACACACACACACACACACAAACACTAACAGCACCCTCACACTAACAGCACCCTCACACACAGCACCCTCACACACAGCACCCTCACACACAGGGTGGTTACTTTCTGGTAACCAACTGCGGGCTAGAGTTCACTCTCGCGAGATCTGAGCGTTGCCGCGGCAACGCTCCGACCTTGCGAAAGGAACCTGGCGGAGCTGCTGGCAAGAGCTCCCTGGGTCCTCTCCTGCCTCCTTCACTGCCTGTGGGTCGGTGAGAGGAGGCTTAGAGCACCACTCATAATAACTTCATATGTGCAGTGGAATATTTAGACACCAGTTAACGATTAACCTTTAAAAAAAATCCTTACTCTCATCTGTGTCCTATTGTTGTTTTTGATAAACCTTTACTGCATTTCTTATTATGTACTTTCTGGTAACCAACTTGGCTTTGTATGATGATGACCATGTTCTGGCATTGACTAGACAATGACTACGGTTTTATTTATCTCTGGTTTCACTTTAATTTTCTTGCCCTGTCTAACTACATAATGTAAGAAGGGCAGGGAGTAATTAAAATCTCACAGTACCTTCGTCAGGTTACCTGTTTGCCCCTGCTCTTCATTCTTAACTTGCGATAGTGAATGGAGCCAATCCCTCTCCACTCCTTCAAAAAATCGTTGAAAACCCACTTCTTCATAAAAGCGTATCAATTAAACTGTTAATAGCTCCCAGCTGATTTCTCTCTTGCAACTGTCACTAGTCTAATACTATCCTTACCTTTCGTGTCACTTTACCCCACTCCCTCTAGCATGTAAGCTCATTGAGCAGGGGCCTCAACCCCTCTGTTCCTGTGTGTCCAACTTGTCTGGTTACAACTACATGTTTGTTCGTCCACCCATTGTAAAGCACTGCGGAATTTGTTGGCGCCATATAAATAATAATATAATAAAAATAATGATATTAATGCTTTCAAAGCCACTAACTAAACCCATGAAGGATGGTTAATAATCACTCAGCATTATTTCCCTCTCTAACTCACACAGACATTGATTAAGTTGTATATGCAGCTTGCTGTGTATTTACTGCCTACTACAGACAAGAAGAGAAATAACCTTTTTTAAAACCCACAATGGGGAGATTTTATAATCACAATACAATGATATATAAACTTCAAGAACATAGACACTCAACTCGTCTTTGTTAAAGAATGTTACCTTAAAACTTTGATCAAACAAGACAAAGAACATATTCTCTGTGCGATCGTTACTTATTTATTTTCCATGTCCTACTTTATTTTTCTGTCTGTACCCCCTATAAATGCATTGTTTACACTTTGGTTTTGCATTATGCCTACTTTGTCTGCTGGACACTACGGGCATTTTTTGTTTGTTTTTTATTCTGTTGTTTATTCTGTTGTTATATCATGTTCCACTCCCCTCAGGTGTTACTCATGTCTAGATTACCTCATTTACTCTAGTCAGATGACCTCATTTTGAGAGATGTTTGGGCAGGATTTACTTACAGTACAGGTATATATATTGTTTTTTGTCTAGTACTCTGTATACATGATTAAGTCTTGAAGCCAAAACATTGATATATAATTTTGTTTTTCTGACCCTGAATAAAGCTCCTGCCTATTTGCACTACTCTTTGAAGCCCTTGGAATTTGATTTTGAGTATTTCTAAGGGACTGCAGATCCCTTCCATGGTGCTCCAGACTTGGCAGTGTCAGGATTGCTAGTTGATCCAGCACGTAGAATTGTGTCACACCTAGGACTAAAAGGTAACATCTTACCAGGCCTTAGAATGGCCAGACTCAACGTATCAGAGAATATTCAGAATACTAGCCGAGGTGGGGGATACAGAAAGAAAATGATAAGGGAATGCCAGACGTCAGGGATACCAGAATACAGGGAAGTCAATACGAAGTCAAAGTCAAAAACCAGAAGTAAACGCTCAGAAACACACTCTTGGACAACCACTAGGGAAACCACGACAGGGCAATGATGAAAAGGCGTAAGGAGTTAAAAAAAGGATATTTAAACTCTGATTTGGGGAAAATCAGCCTTTGACCCCAGAACATGCGGGCGTCTCCCCCATGACGTCACGCGAACTCAGACGTCGTCATCAACTTGGGCGAACGTGGGGCTATAATTTGGCGTGTTTCCACAGCGGCAAGCGTCCATCAACATGTTGCAGTAGTCAGGCACACAGATGCACGGCCGACAAAGAAGACAAAGAAGTTATGAATTCCATGTAGGTCACTTCCCTCGACACTCCTGCATCCACTAAATTAAATCATCCAGACTGGCCCACTGAGGGCAGACCATACAGGGACCAATGTTTCTGCATAGCCTTAGTGCCCTAAATTTAAAACGAGTGGATCTAATGAAGTTATTGTGTGACACTTTTTGGCAACAGTTGCCTGTTGCCTCCAAAAGCTGGACATCAAGATCCAACTTGGATTGGTGGGACAGAACCCATAAATCGGGACAGTCCTGCCACAATCGGCGCATGTTGGAAAGCATGCCATTACATTGTCCTGGATTTCTTGTTCAGCAGGAGTCATGGTCTATCAGTACACATATTATTCTAATAATTAGAATTATTTGTCCTATAGCAGTAAGCAGGCAAAGGGCTTCAGTAGCTATTTATTGCTATAGTAATATTTATAGTTTCGATAAGCTGTACAATATTTGATTGCTTGCTAAGCAAAGAACCTACATTTCAAACAAGCCCAAATTTTGTTCTATTTTTTTCATTATATGGTGGCAGTTTATATGGTTATACTAGTGGAATGGCTGTCATATATAAAAGTCCCTGTCTTTATAGATGACATTTTGTCATCTTTAAGCTACTGGCTTTGATCATTCTCGGTTTAATGGAACATTTCAGCAATGCTATGTAACCATTTCTGGAATAATGTGTGGTTGTATTCATTTACAAGAAAAATTAAAGTTATAATGAAGAATGTAACGATTTGAAATATCTGCATGTTATTAACCAATTCATCTTAAAAGCTGAACAAAAGTCATTTATTTATTTATATTGTCGTTTCATTTACATTTTTTTTTCACTGTTGTTTTCTGGTTTACTATTAAAAAAAAAGTACGAGTATATAAGTTTTGATGTTATAGATTAAGGTAAATGTCAGCCATTTATCATCATATGGAAGCAGTAAATTTAATTGAGTGGAATTAATAAAATATAAATACAAACAATAAAACTAAGAAAGATGCCATGTAGTATTATGGTTTCCATTCTACTGGAAACAAGAAGGCTTAGATATAGTAATGAGACAGAATGGATTATGAGTTACAACTCAAATCAAGTTCTGTTAATGCCAAATAAGAGCTAAGATATAACAAATTACATTAAAATGAAGTAGTTGTGCCAATTTACCTTCATGGGTTAACATGTTAATAAACAGTTTACCTTAATGACTTCAGTCCAGTGCTGGTCAACTCTGCCCCAAAATTTTCTTTTCATTCAGAGGTTTCACTCATGAGACCTCAGACTGGACAGAGTTGACTGAAGACTTTGGGGTAAAACATGTTTATTAAGCCAGCACCAGGGACCTCCTGATATCATAACAACTTAATTCTGAAGATGTTGTTATGGTGCCCAAAGTGTGTCTGTGGGGTAATAGCATGTTAAGTACAAGAAAAGGCCAATTCCCTTGGAGTGAATATGAAGGGTGGAGGGCATGACTGTGGTGGTTTTCTGTGAATTTAAGCCTCATATATTAATATCTATACCTTACAACACTCTAAACTGTTTTATCTTCTGACATGTCCTTGGAGGCTCTGCTTACTCTTTTGCAGAACTTTTATAGAACTCACAGGTATGCTTCTTATGCCTTGCTGTTACAGGGTGTCCTTGAGGATACGAAGGAGCAGGAGGGATCGGGGAAAGAGATGTCATCCTTACGAGTTGGCAGGTGGGCCCATTGTTTCCAGGCTAACTCCAGCACCAGAGTCTTTGTGGAGTCTGGAACCAAGTGAGGCTGGTTTGTGGTCGGCGGATCCAAGGACTGTAATGAGAAAGAGGCCTGGACAAGGTACCAAGAATCAGAATTACAGGTCCAGGTCTGCTCCTAAAGATGGTGGTTCAGCTCTCCAAGATGGAGCTGGATTGGTGGTTCAATTGCAAGGCACGCATCCTTACATCCGAGCAAGATGTTACGTTGGTGCACACAACAACAAACATGGAACACCAGAGTGGCTCAACATTCTCCCAGTGGCACAAATATATGGTGTCCGTTCATGACACAGCATGGACGTTGCAGGTCCCTTCATAACAAGGAAGCCCCAAACTGGATTACAATTCATGTGAAATTCGCCAAAGGCATTTGGAGGACACTTGCCTGGTGAATTTGGTCGAGATTCACTACGGCAATTCAGTTGACATTCGCCAAGGGCATTCAGAGGTAATTCGCTGAGGGCATTTAGAGGACATTCGCCAGTGAGATTTGTAGCCATTCGTCATTGGAATTCAGATGAAATTCACCCCTGGAGTTCTCCTTCAAGTGCAGGTCAGCTTGCCAAACAGAGTGAGCAGCAATTTTCATGCACTCGGTTGAGGATTCTGCACAGAAGATGGAGAGACCTGGCTTTCTGCTCCAGACTTGTGAGTATGATTGCACCCGCGCTTGTCAAGCTGTGCAGTCTGAGGCTGGGGGAAGTGAGTCGTAGGTTGAGATAGTTAATCTGTTGAGGGCAGTTTTGGAGGGGTTGCCACTTGAAAGGGATGTGTCCTCATCCAGTTCTGGTGAGGGGTCTTTCTCACAGGGGGGGCTGAAGCTCCTGAGATAGGTGCTCCTTTTCTTGGACTGGTGTCAGGGGCATATTAGCCGCGAGGCAAACAAGGCATTTGCCTTGGGCGGAATTTTTCAGGGGGCGGCAAAAAACGCCGCCCCCCAAATGCCCAGGGCAAATGCCTTGTTAGCCTCGCGGCTAACTGACATCCCGAGCGGGCGGGCGGCGCTGGCAGGCTGGCGAGGGAGCACTTCCTATGAGCTGTGTGCTCAGCTCCCTCGCGCGCCGCAGAGTGAGGCTGGGAGCCGGAAGATGACGTCATCTTCCGGCTCCCAGCCTCACTCTGCAGCCGGCGCGCGAGGGAGCTGAGCACACAGCTCATAGGAAGTGCTCCCTCGCCAGCCGCCCGCCTGCCAGTGCCACATGCCTGACCTGCAGCCACTGGACCACCGGACCACCAGGGAGAGAGACCCCCCCCCCAGCACTCCCAAAGGTAAGGAGGTTGGGGGGGGATTTAAATTAAAAAAAAAGTTAATGTGTGTTTGTGTCTGACTGTGTGTGTGTGTGTTTGTGTCTGACTGTGTTTGTGAGTGTGTGTGTTTGTGTCTGACTGTGTTTGTGTATGTGTGTGTGTGTGTGTTTGTGTCTGACTGTGTGTGTGTGTGTGTGTGACTGTGTGTGTTTGTGTCTGACTGTTTGTGTCTGTGTATGTGTCTGACTGTGTGTGTATGTGTCTGACTGTGTGTGTGTGTGTGTGTGTTTGTCTGTGTGTGTGTTTGTGTCTGTGTTTGTGTGTTTGAGTGTTTGTGTGTTTGTGAGTGTGTGTGTGTGTGTGTGTGTCTGACTGTGTATGTGTGTGTGTGTGTGTTTGTGTCTGACTGTGTGCCTGACTGTGTGTGTGTGTGTGTCTGACTGTGTGTGTGTTTGTGTCTGACTGTGTGTGTCTCTGACTGTGTGTGTTTTTGTCTGACTGTGTTTGTGTCTGTGTATGTGTCTGACTGTGTGTGTGTGTGTGTTTGTGTCTGTGTGTGTATTTAGAAGGTGGGGCGGGGGGAAGGGTTGGGTGGGGGTGGCACGGGGGGAGGGGGGCGCCTGAGTTTTGTCCTGCCTAGGGCAGCACAAAACCAGGATACACCACTGACTGGTGTGCTCCGTTAGGTCTCCACTTCTCACTGGAGGTGAGGAAAAAAATTATCAGGGGTGATTCATTCCCCAGATCTCAAATTGTGGGATGTGCTGGAAGTACAAATCTGACCCATTGAGGCCCCACTTCACAACTTGCAGGATTTAAACAATCTGCTGTTATTGTCTTGGTACAAGATACAACAGGACACATTAAGAGGTTTTGTGGAGTCCATACCTCAACACATCAGAGCTGTTTTGGCCACATGAGGTGATTTGCATGATATCAGATTAGTGTATATATATATACAGTTAACCCCTGCACACCAACGTGTAAAGAGATAACAGTACCTGGTGCTCTGGTGGCTCAGATATAAATGAAGGAAAATACCGGCACTCAAGGATTTTCTAAGTTTTACTCTCCAGTATGAATCAAAAATCAACGTTTCAGCTCCTCTGGGGAGCTTTCATCAGGACCCTTTTTGATTCATACTGGAGAGTAAAACTTTGAAAATCCTTGAGTGCCGGTATTTTCCTTTATATATATATATATATATATATATATATATATATATATATATACATGAGAAATTGGACTAGAAATGTACCTTTAAAATTGTCACACTTGAGGCTGCTGAGTTATTCATTGATGGCTTTCAGTAAATGACAAGGGGGGTTAAAGAACATTGATCAAATTAAAGAGCGGTGATTGAGTGATATCAGCAACTCCCTGGTGTCTGATATTTAAAGGTTTATCAGATACATGGAAAAACCTGCAAATGACAGAATTGGTGGATTTAGTCTTTAATATACATACGTGTAATGCATTACATGTTTAAAGTCTAGGTTGATTCCTGTGTTTTAATGTCTTAATTTATCTTAGAAAAAAAATTCTATACAATATTGCCTAGACTACAGTACACTCTTGTGTCCATATTATTACAGAACTATTTAGTGGTTTGTAATGTTGGTAAAAACATAAATTATGAATTCTTTGTTATATAGATTTCTTTTAATGCTTTAGAGGGAAATCACTTTGTGTCAGTAAATATTATAAAAGTTCCAAGTTAAATCAATAGCAGTTAGAGTTTTATCAATTTCTGGTATCCTTTATTAGTGCATAGTTAATCTTGGCTAAGGACTTTATATTTTAGTCATGTATTTATGTTGGCTGTTTCAGAACTGTCTATCAAGCATTTTAAGTGGAGAAATAACAGACTCAGGTAGCAGGATTTTAAGAAACAGAATTTAAACCGGCAAGATGTAGTCTGAGTGGCCGAGCCAAATATTGTTTACATATGAAATGTAATGTTGGACTATTTTTTGAATCTCACCTGTAAGCATATGAGTCATTTGATTGATTATGGAGAAAAACAATGCTTTTAAATATTCAGAACAGATGGAAGACATCTTATATTGGAGTAAGGGTTTCTTAAAAAATACAATATTTGTGAAAAAAAAAAGTATTCATTTAGTTAAGGGAGCAAATCGTGAATGGTCTCGCTGCCCAGAAATATGGTATTATGGCATTCTGTGTAGTGTTTCACATAAAAACACGGCTTGTTCACTTAGCACTATGCATCACCTAACATCATTAATTTAATGAAAGAATAAATAAGGCAGCAGAAAGAACAGACTTCACAAAATGTTGGTTCTGTACTCTATACATGACAAGGTTTAGTAGCCAAAAGTTGTTGAGGTGTTTTTCCAAGAAAAGGAGTGATTGTATCAATTCCTTATCTTGTGTCTCCTATACTTCTACTGCCTGGAAGTATTGTGAGATTTACGCTTTTTTGAATGATCCCCGAATCTGTGCAGGGGTCACTTACTTATATGAAACCCATGTGAATTGTCCTTCAAATACTAGTAGAATGAGCAAGTAGGTGAGGACAGTGCATATGTTTATGCATTCGTGTGGGAACATGTTCAAGTGACGGGAGTGTGTATCAACTATTTCCTAATACAATCCCAGTAACATGGAAGGCTGTTGATAGGCTGCTAGATTTACACAGAGGAAGGGGTGGAGTTAAGTACTACACGTCATATCCGTGAAACAATGCTTCACAAATGACTCACTCAATAGAAATAAAAATGACTTCCTGTTTCTTTAACATATTTTACCATTTTGGGAACATGAATTTATAGACTGCGTTTTGACAATAAGTACAGGACCTTTACAAACTACAAACCTGTTTGTTTCTTTGCAAGTAATGCTTTCTACTAACCAGTGTGTTCCTTCTGCTTTTTAATATAAATAGCGGACATAAAAAGTTAATTAGAATTTCATCACAATGCATAAATATTAGTTACTTGAATACCACATGGTGGGGTGCTTAATTCTGTGAACTATATAGGCAAATTGTTTGTTCCTAATTAGGTTATCATAGAGATAATGAGGGGCTCTCAGCATTTCTCTTGTGTTAAAAGGAAAATAATGATTTCAATTTATGCTATAACATGGCAAGAGTAAGAATTACTAAAGAAAAGTGTTTTTTTATTCTAAAATAAAATCATTTAAATTAATTAAAATGGTAAAGAACAGACTGTGAAAAATTGTTATAATTGCTAAATTGAGAAAAGTTATCTTGAGGTTTAATCATGTGTCCACTAATAACACATTTTCATCTATATATATATATATAAATATATATTGTGAAGAAAATAGACTTTTACCTGCGATTTTCTCCTTTATTTATTCGGTATTTTTATATGTGAATACTTGTACATTGAATGGATTGGTTCGGTACTTCCCGAACAGCCAGGAGAGCCTCATTCGGTAGTTCTGTGCGAACGGACAAGGGGAGCAATTGCTACTATGAGCCAGGGGAATCCATTCGGGACTTTTGTTTGTTTTTTGCAGTTTTGTGAATTGACCGACCGCACACGCTGAATTAATGGAACTGTTTTGGGCAGGAGCTGTGTGTGTGGTCGGTAAAAGGGACCCTCCACACTTTTTCAGAACCCCTGAACCGATCTGGGTGAAATTTGGATATGTTTGTCCCCCAGATCGGGGCTATCAGGGGATAATTTGTGGGGATACCTTGTGGGGAAAGGGGTGTTCTAAGTTTTGGGGAAATTGTGTGCTCTCTGCCTGGAGATAATTGGTTTATTCCTTAACTTATCTCAATATCTCCCAGGCAGAGAGGAGGCGTGTAATACTGTAAATTTGTGTCATGATTGGCTGTTGCTTTTGTTTGCTGTTGGAGGTCCTCTTGCAGGAGGATTTCTCATAAAAGCCTGTGTGTTTTCAATAAAGACTATTCCTGTTACACCCTTCATGAAGTCTAGGCTCATGTTTGGGGGATATTCTACTTGCTGGGAAGAATCACCTTGGAACTGCATTTCATCTATTCTATTCCTCCACTCCCTGCTGCAGCTATAATCACTCATGCTCAGCTGTTGGGAGAGGGAAGCAAGACCGCAGCACCATAACCACTGCAGGTCTTAACATATATATATATATATATATATATATATATATATATATATATTGGCAGAAGACATTAAAAGGATTAAAAAGTGTTAATGAGAATATTAACATCTTACCTTGTATTGAAACTACAATATAAAAAAATGTTAGGTTGTGCATTTTCCAGGCACAATCACCATATATATGCTTTATATATTCTTAATTTAATTTTAATAATTGATGAATTGACATTACTTTTGTCTGTTATTAATATTGATGGTTTTTATGTATTCTGCAGTGTTTTTTTTATTTTAATGTAGGAAAAGAGACAAATAAACTATGAAAAATTCTAACAGGAAAAAAAGGAGGTTGTTGAGGATCCTGCTTGAACGAACTCACAATCTAGAGAAGAGCTCACAATCTAGAGAAGGTGATGTATAAAAAGAGTGTGAAAGCAATATGAGGGGATACCATCAAAGGTTTTAAAGTACAACTCAAAATTAAACACATGTAAGACATTATTGTTTAGACAATTATAGTATAAAATGTATGCTATCATAACTTTCAATATTAAAGGAACACTATAGTCACCAAAACAACTTTAGCTAAATAAAGCGGTTATGGTGTATAGACCATGTCCCTGCAGTCTCACTGCTCAATTAACTGCTATTTAGGAGTTAAATCCCTTTGTTTATGAACCCTAGTCACACCTCACTGCATGTGACTTGCACGGCCTTCATAAACATTTATTGTGAAGAGTCATCTAATGGTTATACTTCCTTTAATGTAAATGCTATTTAATTTAAAATGGCTTATCCCTTGCACTGTTCATAACTTGCTATACCCTGCAGGAGTCGCATGTGTGTGATTAAAGTTCAATTTAGAGATCATGAGATAAAAAGTTAAATCTGATTGAAAGATAAACTATTTTCTTTTTAATGTAGTCTCAGCCAGGGAAAGTCTCAGCCAGGGTCTCAGCCAGGGAAAGTGTAGCTAGGGAGGAATGGGCAGAAACAAAGGTGATTTAACTCATAAATGGCAGAAAATTTAGCAATGAGACTTCAGATACATGATCTATCCATCAAAACTGCTACATTAAGCTAAAGCTGTTTTGGTGACTGTAGTGTCCCTTTAATACAATCATCATTAATTATCAAGATTTTTGGAGATTGTCAACCCTCCTTTGTTAGTTGCTAAGTTTCCTGAGTATTCTACAGACAGTTGGTCAGTCAACTATATCATCAGCCAATGTGCATGGATGAGAGTGATGTCATCAGGAGAGGCTGAAAGAGGGAGAATTAGGAATTTTTTAATTTTTTTTTTTTTTTATAGTAAGCGTTCTATGTCCAGTACAAATTTGCAAAGAGCCCTGCAGTTACCCTTTAAATGATTAGATCAATTAATAAATGTCATCCGTAGTCTTTCGTGTGGTGGATGAACATATTACAATTACTCACTAAATTCCTCTCTGTGCATTTTATTTATATTGTTAAAATGTTATTTTTAAAAGCAATTCATTGTGTTATTTTTCCAAAGTGTCTTTTAAAGTTTTTAGCCAAGTACAAATAATGCTTCAAGTTTTAATTCTGCAAAAAGTGAATTAGCAGAGAAAACTTCAATTTCTAAGAATTCGTGTTTTGTTTTCTGAGAAGCATTTACTGCAAAGAGAAAAAAAATGTATTCTTTACTTGTGCTAATCTTGGAATTCCCAGGAGTGGTTAACTATTTTATACACTGGCTGTAGCCTCAGCGTCATAAGAAAAGAAATCTATACAGCCCAGGTTAAAGGTCACCACAATGTATTCACAAGTAACATCTGGAGTTGTTATGCAAACAAATAGATATAGAATTTACAATCCACATGGGTTCATGATAATTCAAATGGCCCTAATGGGTTAAAGACTGCAACCATTGTGTCAAAGAAAGAACATTAATTGACATAATCTTTAAATACCAGTTTGTCCTCACTATTCACCCTGTTAATCTCCTTATTCATGGAGAATGGCCACGATCCAATATACCACCACCGTTTCCAAAAACCCTTTGGAAAGAGGACTTTACAGAACTATTATTATCCATGCGAGGTCCCCCTCATTTTGTATCATTGGATGCCTGTCTGCCTGTCTGCCTTCCAGTCTGGGGGCCTATGTTTGCTAATTTGTTCGATTCCCATGTGAAAAGGGACAGTCTGCTTGGAAAAAAAAATTACATACACTCCATCACACACTGCGGCTCAGATTTAGTCACTTGAAGAGGAAATTAACTCATTGGTGCTCTCAAAGCCAGGTCAATCCGGGATAGGAGATGGCAATTATATATGAATTGTATCGTATTAGAGGGTCTTACAGCCCAGTGAACCCTTTTCATAGCCTTTAGCAGCGATCTTTAACATATGCTAACAAAACCACTCAGATATGCTTTTTATGACCATCTAGAAAGCTATACATAAACACATGTACACACACACACATATATATATATATACATATATATATATGTGACATACAAGATCCAGCGCACTCCCTCGTCCACTAAAACACCTAAGTAAAAAATAATGGTGGTTTAGTTATAGTATATGATCATACATTGCATAGGCCTGGCACAACGTCAATGTACCCCATTCTTGGCAGGTACTACTCTAGCAACCTTCTCCCTGCTCTTATGAGATTAATTCACTTACTTGGGAAATGCTTCCACCAGGACTCTCTGCAAGTCAAGGCTAAATAGGGCCCTGGAATGAGACACCTGTGATGGGGGGGGGTGAGGGGCGGGGGAGGAGGGGAGAGAGGGGTGCAAAACCAAGAGTTGGCCTGGACTACCAAATATATAAATGAAACCAAGAGGGCTGCACTCACCTGAACATGCATAGTTATAATGGTGCTGCTGGGGCCAATTCAAAATACAAGATCCAGCACACTCGCTCATTGACTAAAGAGCAATTTCAAGCCCAGGAGTGCAGAGCAGTGATCCAGAAGAAATCTGTGGTGGGCTTGTGAAATATCCTCAGATCAAAAAGTTAATTCAAAGGAACAAAGGAGTGGAGTAACCAGCAAGGAGCATTTGCCTTATCTACATGCCATTATAGTCAGAGCCTGCTATACCTGGCACTGCATTCTATGGATACATAAGTGTTTTACCAAAGTTATTAAATTTTGTTTATAGCACTAACTTTGTATTGAAGGTGTTATCACGCCCCCTACCTTCTTTGGTTTTGATATATTTCCCTATGAAAGTTCTCATAGATGAACTGAAATATTAACCATTGTTTTTTTTTTGTAATTTATGTATGAGTAAAGAAGACTGAATTTTTTAAAGACCTTGAGTGCTAGCATAAATTTGGACTATTATATATATATATATATATATATACATGATTTGTTTTGATCTGAACTGCATTTCGGCCAAATTAAAGCCAATCGGGTGATCATTTGAATTCCCAAATACTGAGCTGCCTTGAATCTGAATCATGATGAACCACATGGAACGCACAATGGCCGAGCATGTTTGTTTCAGTTTTTGATTCAGAATTCCACCTGTTGCATAACAATTAGAGAGGATTGATGCTTAAAAAAAAAAAAATATTTATGCAGAGAGGACAGTCACACTTTTTTCCCTCTGTTGAATATTTTTTCTGATTTGACCTTTGAACCAGTGTCAAGAAAAAGTTCCTATAAGTGTACTGCAAAATATTTAGATACTATGTGTATATTTTGCAGTATACTGGATCAGATTGTTGGTACCAAAATTCTGTAGATCCAAACCAACAAGTTTATGTTACTGGGAAAAAAGATTCGACCAAGACAAATTTATTCACTGTGCATTATATATATATATACAGTTGCAAGAAAAAAGTATGTGAACCGTTTGGAATGATATGAATTTCTGCACAAATTGGTCATAAAATGTGATCTGATCATCATCTAAGTCACAACAATAGACAATCACAGTCTGCTTAAACTAATAACACACAAATAATGAAATGTTGCCATGTTATTATTGAACACACCATGTAAACATTCACAGTGCAGGTGGAAAAAGTATGTGAACCCTTGAATTTAATAACTGGTTGAACCTCTTTGGCAGCAATAACTTCAACCAAACATTTCCTGTCGTTGCAGATCAGACGTGCACAACGGTCAGGAGTAATTATTGACCATTCCTCTTTACAGAACTGTTTCAGTTCAGCAATATTCTTGGGATGTCTGGTGTGAATCGCTTTCTTGAGGTCATGCCACAGCATCTCAATCGGGATGAGGTCAGGACTCTGACTGGGCCACTTCAGAAGGCGTATTTTCTTCTGTTTAAGCCATTCTGTTGTTGATTTACTTCTATGCTTTGGGTCATTGTCCTGTTGCAACATCCATCTTCTGTTGAGCTTCAGCTGGTAGACAGATGGCCTTAAGTTCTCCTGCAAAATGTCTTGATAAACTTGGGAATTCATTTTTCCTTCGATGATAGCAATCCGTCCAGGCTCTGACGCAGCAAAGCAGCCCCAAACCATGATGCCCCCACCACCATACTTCACAGTTGGGATGAGGTTTTGATGTTGGTATGCTGTGCCTTTTTTTTCGCCACACATAGTGTTGTGTGTTTCTTCCAAACAACTCAATTTTGGTTTCATCTGTCCACAGAATATTTTGCCAGTACTGCTGTGGAACATCCAGGTGCTCTTGTGCAATCTGTAAACGTGCAGCAATGTTTTGTTTGGACAACAGTGGCTTCCTCTGTGGTATCCTCTCATGAAATCCATTCTTATTTAGTGTTTTACATATTGTAGATTCACTAACAGGGATGTTAGCATTTGCCAGTGACTTTTGTAAGTCTTTGGCTGATACTCTAGGATTCTTCTTCACCTCACTGAACAGTCTGCGCTGTGCTCTTGCAGTCATCTTTACAGGATGGCCACTCCTAGGGAGAGTAGCAGCAGTGCTGAACGTTCTCCATTTATAGACAATGTGTCTTACCATGGACTGATGAACAGCAAGGCTTTTGGAGATACTTTTATAACCCTTTCCAGCTTTATGCAAGTCAACAATTCTTAATCATAAGTCTTCTGAGAGCTCTTTTGTGCGAGGCATCATTCACATCAGGCAATGCTTCTTGTGAAACTAAAACCCAGAACTGGTGTGTGTTTTTTATAGGGCAGGGCAGCTGTAACCAACACCTCCAATATCATCTCATTGATTGGACTCCAGTTGGCTGACATCTCACTCCAATTAGCTTTTGGAGATGTCATAAGTCTAGGGGTTCACATACTTTTTCCACCTGCACTGTGAATGTTTACATGGTGTGTTCAATAAAAACATGGCAACATTTTATTCTTTGTGTGTTATTAGTTTAAGCAGACTGTGATTGTCTATTGATGTGACTAAGATCACATTTTATGACCAATTTGTGCAGAAATCCATACCATTCCAGAGGGTTACATAGTTACATAGCTGAAAAGAGACTTGCGTCCATCAAGTTCAGCCTACCTCACATTTGTTTTTTGCTGTTGATCCAAAAGAAGGCAAAAAAACCCAGTTTGAAGCACAATTTTACAACAAGCTAGGAAAAAAAATTCCTTCTTGACCCCAGAATGGCAGTCAGATTTATCCTTGGATCAAGCAGTTATTACCCTACATTGAAAGATTATATCCTTGAATATTCTGTTCTTGCAAGTATGCATCTAGTAGCCGTTTGAACATCTGTATGGACTCTGATAAAACCACTTCCTCAGGCAGAGAATTCCACATCCTGATTGTTCTTGCAGTAAAAAAACCTTTCCTTTGCCTTAGACGAAATCTTCTTTCTTCCAGTCTAAACTCATGACCTCGTGTCCTATGTAAAGTCCGGTTTGTGAATAGATTTCCACACAATGGTTTGTATTGGCCCCGAATATATTTGTATAATGTTATCATATCCCCTCTCAGGCGACGTTTTTCTAAACTAAATAGGTTTAAATTTGTTAACCTTCACATACTTTTTCTTGCAACTGTATATATATGTATTCATGTACATGTTAAACATGTATATTCAGATAAAACTGGCAACAACCTGTTGATTTGCCACGGTATATTACGTTTAAGTCCTTAACTGCACTCTTTGCATCAGTATATGTTGCTTATGGGTTACTGTCTTGACAAAGAAAAATACAGTAAAAATTTATTTTATCTTTATGTAACTGATTATCACTAGAGCAAAATGTGGCATTTAATAAAGTAATGATGGTTTAGTCTGATTAAAAATGATTTTAATTATTACAAAAACAATAGATAATCACAGAATTGCAGAAGTAATGATGGTTTAGTCTGATTAAAAATGATTTTAATTATTACAAAAACAATAGATAATCACAGAATTAAGTTAAAAATATCCTTGGGTACATGCTCTAACGAAATGTATTGTGAAGATTAACGATATACAGGTTTTTATTTTTTTTAATTGTACCACTACTTTTTATCAAGCTAAATATAGAAATCAGGGACTTACTTTTGATAAAATAAGGTATATAGTCTAGCAGGGAATGTAAAAATAAATACATTAAAAGGTACTGAATAATTTATAGGTTTCCACAACGATACATTTTTATTGTACATCTAGTGAAAATGAAGAATCACATGTCTAGTCTTTTGTAAAGTTTTATCAAAATATCCATCATAATACATTATCATAAAGTTTCATGGATGGCCTCTAATGGTTTTTTAACATTTTACGCTTTCTAAGGTCCATTTTACATGGGACAACTATAGTTTTAAAATATCCTAAACAAACATGTATTCCTGATCCTGTAGTGTTAAAAACACCATCTAGCCCCCCTGCCCTCCCTCTTCCAAATATAGTAAAATCTTACCTTTATTCCAGTCTGCTGTTGCTGGCTTTGCCCCTGATCTGCCTCCTTGGCTGACATCATCAGAAGAGGTGATCTCAGCGAATCACAATGCTGTCCCATAGGAAAACTTTGGATTGGCTGAGATTGTCAAGGAGGCAGATCAGTGGCAGAACCAACACAGGTCAAACACAGTCCTGACTAATCATCATCTCTTCATAGAGATGAATTGAATCGATGCATCTCTATAGGGAAAGTTCAGTGTTTCCATGCAGAGGGTGAAGACACTGAATGTTGGTGCAGCACATTGTGCAGCACTGGCCAAGAATGCACCTCTAGTAGCCATCTGAGGAGTTGCCAGTGGTGTTCTCCTCAGGTTGTAATGCAAACACTGTATTTTTTCTGAAAATACTGTGTTTACTGCAAATCCATGTTGTATTCATTTTGCATTCCTGAAAATCCACACACTATATGGAATAATTCTGACAAAATTTAGGAAACTTGGAAAAAAAAAAAAGCAACAACAACAAAAAAGCTGTGTTCTGAGTAAATGCATAATTTTAGCTTAACTGCTAAATTCTTTTGTTTTGTGCTGTGATTGGTAGACATATTGGTGGCACGTGACTTGTGTCAAGCACACACCATGGACAAAATTGATGCAGGCATTCTGTTCTGTCTGCCCTGATTAACAGTTCTATAGTCTTTCATAAAGCTGCATCTTACAGATTACATCATTTATAAACCACTCACAGAGCTCAGTATGTATATAGCATAGTTTCTAAACCATAAATTTCACAATAACGCATGTTCCCTATGCTTTAAGTCTGGTCCTTTAGCTCTGTCACTAAAATAATATCTTCTGGCTTTATTACTGAATATGTGCACAACACCATTTCTGCTCCTTCCACCTAACCTACAGTATCCAATCACAAAATTGTATTCGACATCAGAAGGAACATCAAAGCTTTCTGGGAATTATAGTTCAGCTAACAGAGCACTGATAAGTAATCTACACGTCCCAGAACCCCATCTAGTAAAAAATTTGAGGCAACAAGAGCTATTCAACTCCTCCCCCTAAATTTTAACCTTTGAAATGCTGAGTTAAACACGCTATTTTTGTTGTGTTAGTATTTTTTTTATTGGTGTGGACCACAGGGGAAGTATTCTTATGAGTCTAGTAGCTGAGTTTATATATTTTTTATTTTTTATTTACACTGAACAAAATTATAAACGCAACACTTTTGTTTTTGAAGGATATATAGATATGAAATCTATATTAGAGTGGAGCACTAAGTGGAAAGTTAAACATGCATAAATAGTAATGCTTATCCCTTAAAAGTATGCAGGGGGGATGTAGCATCATATGAAGTATATGAAATAAAAACACAAAAAAAATATGGTATAAAGTGCCAATGGTTCAGTATACGAGGTATACATCAACTCACATGGGCTGGAGCCTGTATGGTACCTGGCTTAGTAGGAGGAACCTTTATGCTCTTAAGGCAGCATTACACCTCTGGTAGATATTAGGTGAATGTTCTCCAGGCATAAAAGGAAATAGAGAGCATAAAGTAGTGCAGGGAGTTTCAAACAACAGTGACTTAACATACATGTGAAGATGTTAAGCTCACCTTGTTTAGAGCCTGATAAGTCTGGCTCTGAGGTAGAAAAGCAAAGTGTTAAGTTATTGGGTGACACTACCCCTATGATGTACAGAAGTCAAACAGGGTCAGGTCTGAACACCGGATGAATCCAACTAAGATTTATTGATAATAAAAATGCACAAAAACAAATAAGCAGATATAAAAGTAAAAACAAATGTTGGGTACAGTCCAATAAGTGCAGATCCTGTTGCCAAAATGAATTTCGCTTAGAAATAAGCTTCCTCAGTCGGCTATTCCCTGCAGACTTCTGTGCTGTCTTTTATATGGTGGCGGTGGTATCGTTCTTCCAGTTATGCGAGATATTCCTGTCCAATGGGTAGGGTTAATCCTTAATTGGGGTTATACACTACACATATGTGCTATTCGGTGGCTGTTTATGGCATGTAGAACACTCATAGCACACCGCTTACCAGCCCGCCCGTCTCATGTTTTCATCGTCAGTTTGTGGGTTTAAGTGACGTCACGATCCTTCATGACACGTCACTTCCGCCCACATCGTATCGATCAACCGCAATTACTAAATAGGAACAACAAGCAGTATTATACAATATACTCATTTGGAGAAAAGAAAACAAAAGGGAAATAAAGAGGAAATTAGTATACAAGTCGCATATTGAGGATTACGGTACATCATGGAAATGTAAAATAAAAAGTGCAAAGAGTACAATAAAATCCAACATGTGTGGTTGGAAACATATATGTTGCCTATTGATGAATTGGTTACTCATATAAATGAATGACTTGAAGTATAATTTTCAATATGGAGTCATAGTGAAATATGGAGGAGGAGGAGATAGAATGAATAAATAATGCGATAATTAATAATGTGAAAGATACATAAAAAATAATAAACATACAAATCGAAATTTTAAAATGGAAATGAAAATAAATGAAAATAAGATAAAAATTTAAAAAATAAAATAAAAAGATGCTAATTAGAAAGCATGATTATTGCACAGGTGTGCCTTACACTGGCCACAATAAAAGGCCATTCTAAAATGTGCAGTTTTATCACACAGCACAATGCCACAGATGTCGCAAGTTTTGAGGGAGCGTGCAATTGGCATGCTGACTACAGGAATGTCCACTAGAGCTGTTGCCCATGAATTGAATGTTAATTTCTCTACCATAAGCTGTCTCCAAAGGCGTTTCAGAGAATTTGGCAGTACATCCAACCGGCCT